AGTATCTTGTGACCATCATGTGCTGGGCCCCTATAGTGAGTCAGGTACTGCACTGGGTATCTCATATGTGTTACTGCTAATCCCTGGGAAAAGTGGGCAGGGAGCGGGGAGGCAGGGGCTGGTTGAAAGAAGGTGAAGGGATTAGACAGAGAACACAGAGGCTGAACCCAGGGACATGGACAAGTGTGCAGGGATTGACTGTGGGAATGGGGGGCGTGCTGGGGGAAGGGGGCAAAGGCGGAAAATTGGAACAACTGTAATAACATAAAAAAATACAATATTCAAAAGAAAGTTTGGCATTCCTGTTCCTATTTGACAAATTGAAAAACAGGGTTCCAAGAATGCAAGCTAGCACTTAAACCCAAGAGATTCCAAAGCCTCTGTTCTTTGCACTATGTTACAAGGCTGTGTCTCATATACATCAAGAATGGCGCTTTAATGCTAGTATGTAGCAAGAGAAGTAACTAGCCAACCCTATTCCAGGTCATCTAATAAGCTAGACAGAAGAAGTTACAAAGTGACTGGCCTTGTGGACAGGAGTGAAGGGAAGGTACTGCCAGACTCTAAAGAATATCATTTTCTAGGAACTGCAAGTAGTGTGGAAGGAACAGACAGGGAATGGAACAGTAACACATGGAGCCAAAAAGGTAGGGAAAGAGCCATGTATCATAAGGGCTTTGCAGGCCACATAAAGAGCTTGGCCTTTTTTCAGTAGGTGATGAGGGGGTCCGCTGAGAGAACTTAAGTGGGAAATGACATATCAGGTGAATTTTAAAAAGACATCTGCTACCAATTTGGAGAGAACAGATTAAAGGAGAAAGAGACCACAGGCAGAAAGATCATTCAGCAGGCCGCTGTAGTCTAGGCAAACAATAAAGTTAGCCTGAATCAAAGTCAGCAGGAAGGAGAATGAAAAGAGGAAGCCCATTTTAAGAGATAAGACATAGCAAGAAGAGAGATTTGATGTCCAATTAAATCAGAATTTCTTGATGTGTGGAAAGGAATCTAAGCAGACTCTAAGGGTTTCTAACTTAAATATTTGAATAAATGGTTTTTTAACCTAGTTGCTTCCTCAGATCTACAACCCCAAGTGGACTTTTAAAATTTTATCTTGTTATAATCTTTCATGTAAGAAATCATAACTGCCTTATTGTTTTCTTTATAATTGAAGCAAACCTTTATCCTTTCTCTTCAGAATCACATTATTTTGTTGTTGTTTCCTTTTTAATGGAAGGCCTGCTTTAGTTCAATAACAACTTATAGGTATGCCTTCCTTTTTTGTCAATTCTTCTCCAAGAAACCAGGTGCTACTCCAGGATAAAGTGTCCCAGTCTCTCCATGTAGAAAGTCTTTACATTGTTACAGGTCTCTACAGTGTACACAGCATTTCCACAAACATTTCCATTTGACCCCGAGACAGCTGGAGAAAAATTAAACTCCTTATCCCCAAATGAAGACAAAGGAACTTTCAAGGGTTTGTGCCATTTCCCTTCAAACAGGGACAGCCCCCAGCTTTTCTGAAAACATGTTCATTGGTGTCTCTGGCTCTTCCGTTTCCCAGCCAGATCTGAATTATATTGACAGTAACAAAGTCACTGATGCGCACTGGAACTAAGCATGAGAATTTCTTGTTTAAACAATAAGGGGCCAACAAATTTCAGGATCTGGAGAAGCTAAGGCTCAAGCCAGTTTCTGTTAAATAAGAATTCATCTGGTCACTTGAATTTCCTTCTCACCCTCCCGAGACATTATGTGTGATTGGATTCAGGCAGTTTGCACAATGTAGTGGATCCACTAATTGCTCCTCTGCTCACTATAAGCACAAATGACTACACTGGTTGGAAAACCAACCCAGGGAATAGACTATGAAATTGGTATTGAAGCTTTGGCAGCAGACTGACTGATCAGGATACTGAATGAAAAGCTAAAACACAAAGCACAGCTTGTTTTGTTTTGTTTGGTTTTTTAGACAGTAATTTCTAGTGGCGGAGACAGATGTTTCTTGAAGTGGCAAGAGATTTGCAAAGCAGAATGTTATAGCACTTACTGTAATTGCTTTATTAATATTGTATGTGTTTACGGCTTCTATCTTTTGGCTTGTGGCACCTCTTACTTTAAATGACTTTGGATTTCCTGATGACTGGCAGCTAATCTTTACTTCAGAGATCCTTTGAGCCACATCCCCATCTTTGCTGTGTAGAGTGAAATGTTTCATGTGTGGCCGCATTTTTGTTTGCTCTTCTTACACTGAGAAGCCGTCAGGGGGCACTGGAACGCCCCAGAGACAGCAGTCCTGTGTGTGCAGAAAAACGCGTTGGCTGAGCAATGACCCCCAGGTAGGCACATGCCCACCCCTGCAACAGAAATGATCTCCGTCTCAGGATTTAACGTCAGCTACCGCATCCTGAGAAGGATCTGGGAGATTCTAATCCAGGGTCTTGCAAAGACTGACTCCATTTGGAAGAGTCCAGTTTGCAGTGGGCGCTCCCTAATAAACTCCCTTTTGATGTTTGGCTTATTTCATTTCGAAAAGTAGAGACCATAGTTTAATTTTCTTCCAACGTGTCACTAAAAAGAGGGAAGCAAAATGAATATGGATATAAAGCTATAAATGCACATTAAATTTGGAGTTGACAATTTCTGAGGTTTGCTAATTGCCCACAGCATGGTTCCTGGCTCTCCCTGCATGGACCCTCCCAGGCCACTGCTCTTTGGGGGGCCTGCTCCCTGGATTTCCCTGAGGGAGGAGGGAAAGAGGTTTTTTGAGGGGAGTTTTAGTCTCACTTTTGTGGTCGACATCATTATTGTTGTAACTTTCATGAGAACTGCCCCTAATGACAGCCTGTGGGTTAAATGCAAGCCCACTGAGCAAAAGGCCAGAAGAGGTGAGTGAAAAAGTAGCAAAGCCATCAGAACAGACTGATCACTCAGTCATTTCTGAGAACTGCTGGGACTTCCTTCTGAAACCAACCAGCAGCGGAGGGCTGGGCTGAGCTGGGCCTGACGTACTCAGCACCACGTTGTGACAGCTAAATTCCTTTGAGCACATACGACTGAAGGCCCCCATACTTCACTCTTGAAAAAGAAGCATCTTTCTTTAATTCATGTCTCTAGGAGAAAGCCTACTCAATATTTAATTTTAATCGACTACGTCACTTTTTCTTCATGCCAAGAAATAGCCCTCCAGTTATGCATAATTTATTGTAGTGGACAAGACCTACATCAGTTTTAGAGGAAATGCTGTTGAGAGGTAAGGGAGGGGCAGAGTCGCTTCCCAATGACATTTGGATTAGAGCATTTTTAAATCAATCAACGTAGATTGTTCCTATATAGACAAATCCTTTGATGGAAAAAAAAAAAAGAAAAAAGAAACACCAAACTGTCATAAGAACATGTAGGTTTTTGAATAGAGCATGTACAAGCAGCATAGATAAATGCAGCTTAGAGCTCAGCACAGACACCGTCCTGTGCTGCAGGTTCTTGGTAGGTGCCAATGGCCCTTCTTGACCAGTGTGTGTGAAATGGCTTTAACACAACAAAAGGCAAAGAAACAGGACCACATATGACATATATATTTCCAAGATGCTCCATTATTGTTGCCTTTAGTTTGCAAATATTAAGAAACTGAGCCAACAACTTTTTCATTTTTATGGTCACAAAATATGAAATGATAAATAATTACTGGATCAACCCTGACAACTCTACAGTCACACTGTTTTTATTCTTCCATAATCAACATCTCCCTCTTCCAAATCTAACTGAATTCCTCTGCTTGAAAAGGACCAATGCTACTCTGCTCATTCAAATAATAAACAACAGGGGATAAATCTCTCTATTGAAGTTACATTTCAGGTACTTAAGCTAATAACATCTTGCAGGTAAACAGATTATTTATAAAGGCCAGGCTAACATATAATATTATTAAAATACTGTCATTCCCTCAAGCTGTTCAACTACACAACCAATCTGACACATTAACATACTGCATAGTGAAAAGGCGGCACTTGCTACATTTTCCCCAGATTTTGTTTCATTTAAAATATTGTGTACAAAAAAAGTCATATTCAAGATATTGCTTATCCACAACATCCCTGAAGTGCTTTGACAGCTATAAGACTTTTTTTTTTAGTAACTGAGCCATGTATATATGCATTACCATCACTACCCCCTTTTTGGTATCGCTTAGCAGCATTAAATTTCACTTTTCCTTATGGTTATGGTTAGTTCTTACATTGTACTTTTTTTGTTTTTTTCTGTGTGATAACCAATTTTACAGATAGATACTGCTGACCAGAAGCTACCATATCTTACCTGTATTTTACATCTGATGCCTTCCTGGTTCACAGTGAAAAATTTTCCATTAAGAAAGGAAGGAAAGGAGGGAGGAAGGACAGGAGAAAGGAAGGGAATAGAGAAAGAAAGAAACTCATGGATATTTTCCCTCCACTTTCTCATTTTTTTCAGTTCCAAGATGTGCATTTCTCAAGAATATTATGTCCCCTGGTCTGATGAGTATTCCCTTTCAATGAAACCACAGGACATAGCTGTTGGGCACAGAAACTAAATGTCATGAATTCAGTGCCCTGCTACTTGGCAGCAAACTCAGCTGCAAGCTTTTCATGTAATGTTTTTTTCACCTTCACTCTCTTACTGTGCTTTTTTTCAACAAAAGTTAGACAGTAATAACTAGTACATTTACACACCACAGTTAATGATTGTAATAGTATAAGGTAAGAGGATAAATACTTATTAAGAAAAAAAAGTACAGTATAACCCTACAATGAATACAAAAAAAATTATTTCAGCAGTTAATGAAAACATGGATACATTTGACAGAATTACTTAAGGGAAGATAATCGCTTGCATGCCTCCTGGGGGCAAATTAACTGGGTGTGTATGTGTTTAATCCTTTCAAGACTATAAAGTATAATTGTTATAAACTGCCAACCCCCTTGCCTCCTACCCAAGTCTGACTAGGCACCCCCCCAGTTCTATCTTACCTTTTGGGAACTAATTTGAGTTTCTTTTCCCAAGATGCACCACAATGTCTGCAGGAAAGGAGGCTAATAATGCCTTGCTAGGAAATTCTGGATTCTGTTCCCTGGGGTTAATTGTTGATCGAATAATGGACAATCAGAGCAGTAGCCATTTGGATGAAGACAAAGGAGGCAGGGCCTGTGGAGAGAACAAAGAAACAAAGGACACTTTCAGAAAACGTTCCGTAGATGATATAAACTCATTTCGCAATATTAGTACTTTCATGTCTTTTGTTACTGAACTCTATATTACTTTGCTGGCCTAGCCTCATTAAATAATATATATATATAATATATTATATATATATAGGAGTGGGCTTTCCATGGTCATCTTGTTCCTTGCTAATGCAGCCAATGACAAAGCTTTCCCTGGAATACAGGGAACATGAACTCTCAAGGCAAAGTATTCATCATGTAGAGGAAGCTAATCTATCAGACCTCAGTGAGTAAAATAATCTTATTTAAATATATTAGAAAGTAATTTAATAAGATGAGTAAATGAGCAGCTTAGTGCTAGGATCTGACACTTTCTGATTAGAAATGTCATGAGAGTGAAGAAATTCTCTTGAGACAATTAACTTGTAAAGGAAATTCATTTTATAGTTCTAGCAATTTGAGATGAATCACTTAACTGCTCTGGCCCTCAGCTAAATCATAGCATCTATAAAAGAATGAGGTTGGGCCAGGAGGCTACAACTCTAGAATTATTTAAGTTACATTTAAAATTTGTGATGACTAGCAAAAAAGGATAAAAGACATCTTAGAGTCCTGACCATATAGAATAGACTTCAGAAAAGTAGAGTTCAGTTATGTATAAAAATATGTGGGATTCTACTGCCAGAAGCATACACATGTCCCCAAGAATGGATGGGAGACACTAAAATTTTCAAGCACAGAGAGGAAGAACAGGGAAATAATCTACGGAATTGTGTTCCTTGCAAGCAGACGTGCAAATGGAGTTGAGACAGCAGGAGGTCTGCTGGGGCAGAAGGCGTGGTGATGCCTGTGGGAGACAGAAGGAGGAGGAAGCCGGCTTGGGCAAGGGGACCCATTAGACGACAGCGCAGGCTGACCCTTGTGACAGGGAAGCAGGCAGAGAGCAGGGAGGGGGAAGGATGGGGCAGAGGAGTAGGGGACAAACTCTCAGCTAACCCAACACGGGACTGGGGTTAGAAGATTGTTGATTGCACACATCCCACCAAAATGGCCCAGTCCAAGAGTCCCTCCGCATGCTTAATACATTGGCTGGGGACTTCCCAGAGAGTGTGTGGCCTTGTCCCAAAGCTGAGGTGGGGATATCTCAGGATGGTTCTGATTGGCTTTCCCCTAATGAATAGTGATGCTGAGCATCTTTCCATCTATCTGTTGTCCATCTGTATGTCTTCCTTAGAGAAGAATGGCTATTATCAAAACAAAAAACAAACAAACAAATACACAAAAAAACCCCTCCAAAAGACAGCACGCTTTGGAGAGAACGTGGAGTAAAGAGAACTGTTGTGCACTGTTGATGAGAATAGAAACAGATGTAGTCACCTTAGAAAAACAGTATAGAGGATCCTCAAAACATTAAAAATAAAACTACCATATGATCCAGCAATCCTATCTCTGGGAATATATACATATCCAAGGGAACTGAAATCAGGGTCTTGAAGAGAAGCCTGCTTTCCCATTATCTTGGCAGCATTGTTCACAGAGCCATGGAAGCAAAGTGTCCATCAATAGACAGTGTAAACTATTTTTTAATTTAGTACAATGCTAGTCTTTCATTGTGCTCTGTTGTATCTTGTAATGTATTGCACTGTGTGTGAGGTGCTGGTGCATGTTTTCTAGTATTATATATAAACACATTGTTGATATAGCCAGCGCCAATGGATTCAGTTTAAGTGCCTTTTTAAAAAAACTTTTTTTATTTATTATTTTTAGAGAAGGGAAGGGAGGGGAAAAGGGAGGGAGAGAAGCATCAATGTGTGATTGCCTCTCATGCATCCCCTACTGGGGGACCTGGCCTGCAACCCTCAGGCATGTGCTCTGACTGGGAATCAAACCAGAAACCCTTTGGTTCACAGGCCGACACTCAGTCCACTGAGCTACACCAGCCAGGGCTCAAATGCCTTTTGTTTTCTATGCATCAACTCAATACTGTAACGTGTTTATTTGTGTATCTTAAGAAAACATTATAGGTTATCATATCTGTGTATGTTAAATTGATAAATTAAAATGAATGCTTTTACAATGATAATATTAACTATTTTTCTAGTTCAACTACATAAGTATGAAAAAAATTTATAATTTAAAATAAAGACCAAAGCAGAGATAAAGTTAGTAACATGACTGGAGCAATAAAGAGGAAAAATAAAAAGACTGGTCACAAATATATTAAGTGGAAACTGAAATTTGTTGGGGCAAAACAAAATAGTTGTATAAAATAAAAACAATTAAGATATATGACTATGGAACCGTGGCTGCCTATACAGAGTGGATGTTTTAGGGAAGGTGCTTTTGGATAAGATTAACATTTAAATCAGCGCATTTGAGAAAGAATACGGCCATCCAAAATGCTGGTGACCTTCATTCATTCCCTTAAAGGACCTGAATAGAACAAAAGACCGATCCCCTCAAGCAAGAAGAAATTTCCCAGCACCTGGCCGGCGGACTTGAGCCACAGCATCAGTTCTTTCTTGGGTCTCTAGCCTTCTAGCCCACCCTGCAGCTTCTGTGCTTGCCATCTTCACAATCCTGTGAGCCCCTTCCTTAAATAGAGTTCTCTGTGCGTAGGCGTGCTTTTGGTTCTGTCTGTCTGACCGCCCTGACTAATGCACAATGAATCTCACACCATCACCGAGCGGGCAGCCCCGCGGCCCAGCTCCATCATCCTCCCATTCCCGCGGTCAGAGCAGGGAATCGGAGAGCGTCCCAGGTTCCGGTGTCCTTCCTTTGGAGGTCCCTTCTAACGGCTTTGTTTCTGAGAAGGGCTCCCTCTAAAAACTGACAGCACACAGACTGAGGACCTAGGTCCTCAGGGGAAGGCGCGGAGTTGAATGAGCAGAACCTTACCTGTCAGTGTCCCACCTTGGATCCTCTTCCTGGCTCTGGGTTGATGCTGAAAGACAAGAATGAATCTGTGACGTAATGCTCACTCCTCTCCAGGCAGGCTGCAGACTTTCATTATTCATGAATGATATGCTTTTCTGGACAGAATTATTGATCATTTTTCTATCTCTGCTATTCATTTTTAAAGTGGGTAAAAACAACTTGCCATTGTTTCTTCCCTGAAAACTCAAGTAACGAAGGCTTTCCTGCATGAGGTTTTCAGCTGGTATTTCCACCAGGAAGTCCTTTGCTGAAGGACACAATCTTCAGATCGTTAGGAACATATATGCTCCATTCAATGGGATTTGGTGCCTTGAGCGCAGATGGATAGCGGCTGATCAGAGGTTTTCAGGGACTCAGCACTACCTTCCAGGTGATGAATATGTTTATTATCGCAACTGTGGTTATAGTTTCACAAGTGTATGCATATGCTCAAACCTATCAAATTGTATATATTAAATACGTTAAAAACAGCTGATGGGGTCCTTTATATCATGGTGTACATGTCTGTTTTATCTACCCATGTTAGCCAGACATTTAAGAAATTCATACTACTTATGGTCTTAATTCTTAAGATTTTAAGTGGAAAATTCAAGCACTCTATCATTTCCTTTGACTTTTTTCAATTCCTTTGTTAATGCTAACCAGTCACCTTGCCCAGGATTCTCAAATCTTTCCCATTCCAGGGTGAAGCTTCAGCAAAGTTGACAGCTCCTCTTTTTCACTGTATCAATAGTGAAATTGATAGATTTTGAATAGTGAAATTGATATAGGCATTGAAATATTGATATGAACGGTTTGCTTCTATACCATTAATACCGCCAGAGTCACCTACCCAGAATGGACTTAGGTTTCAGGCTCTGCTTCCCCTTATCGGCTCTCCCTTCAGCGTTCCCTCCACACATCCTGGCATTATCTCTGGCATTATCATTTGTGTCCTAACTATATCCCTGACTGATCTTAAAGGCCAGAAGACTCCCATATCTAAAAATACCCTTCGAGGTTTCAGCAAAAATGAACTCCAGGAAAATTATGTCCAGATGAGAAGAAGAGGCTCTAAAAATGGCCCGCTGGCCGCATTTTTTAAAAAGTCACCATCTGTTGATCCTCTTTAAAAGACAGATACATCTGAGGAGACTAAAGGGACACAATTTAGAGGAAAGTAAAGGAACACAGTACATAAGTACAATATGTAAGCCTGAGTGGATCCCATACTAGAGAAAAAAACATGCTGTAAAGGACATTCTGGGTGGGCTGACAAAATTAAAGTAGAGATGGTAGGTAAGTTAAAAATAGAATGTCATGTCAAACTTACTCAAGTTGATAACTGTGTGTGAAATATTCTTTTCCTTAGGAAATACACACAAAGTATTTAGAAGCAAAGGTCATGATGTATGCAACTGAATTTCAAAAGTCTGGGACAAAGAAAAATTTTCATAAGACAGAAAGAGAGCAAATAGGAGAAATGATAAACATTAAGTAAATGTGGGTAAAGGGCGTTAGAGCATCCTTTACTACTCTTGCAACTTTTCTGTAAGTTTCAAATTATTTTCTAATGAGTAATTTTAAGAAATGGCCCACCAATCAGTCCCAGTGAGTTTAAGTCCCCTTGAGATGAACAGATTCTGGCGCCCAAAGCAGCCACCATCACCCCCAACTCTTGAAGTGAGACATTCCAGCTTTTAATCAGTTTTATTAGGTTCTGTCTCAGACAAAAACACTGGGATCTTCTTATTAAAACTCTGGTTCTAGCTTTGTCAATATGGGTTTTAAATAATATTGGGAAAAATCCAAAAATAAAAATAAAAATATACACTATGTATAAAAATGCAAAAATTTAAAACATTCACATTAATATCATGATTTGAAACCTTTATCCTGTAACGTACCAGATGCATAACTTCAGAAATGTTATTTTACTTCCTTCTTTTTCAGTGTCTTTATCTGGAAAGCAGAGATAAACATCCTTGGTCACATGATAAACTAGTAGTTATGATTAAAAATACTAATAAAACCAATAGCAGCTTTATTGGACCTGAAATGTCTCTATTCAGAAGATTCCTGTTTTGTTTGTTTGTTTGTTTGTTTTGAGTGCATCTAGCAAGCTCCTAGCTCAATGATCCATGGGAAACACTCTTGCAAGCCTATAGATTGATTCTCCTTAAGAAGATAAAGTGTTCCATTCTTCTATTTCTGCAAGTTAATGTCACTGCCCCATAACGTGATCTACTGAGGACCAACTCCAGGGCAAACCCGATTCCACTGCAGCCTTTTTATGGTGAACCCTCAGGGAGCCCTTTCACCTCAGGCTTTTCCCTTCCTCCAGGCCCCCCTCCCAGTGCTGAGTTAGCAGATTTCACTTCGTTCTATTTCTCTTCAAAGCTTTCCTACAGTGGGATAAATCTGCCCTGTTTTCCTTTACCATGCCTCTTGTTGACTTTTGGTATGTCTCCCTTAGTCTTCATTTCCTCTCCTAAAATATCAATTTATAATTGTCATTTTCTACCAACAGAAACGTTTGTTGTCAGCCTTTTACAGAATAGAAACAAGTACGCAGCACAGGTACCCAGTACTCTGCACTGTGTGCATCAATGTAAACATCTGGAAAGAAATCTATGGTTGCGAAGGCATGGATTGCATTTGGAAACTGCAGAATGCCAAGTCCGGGGATGAAGGAGGGGCTTCACCAGATTCTTCAGTGAGGAGGTGGAAATTCCTCATCTCAAAGCTTAGGACAAGGAAACACAAGGCTCTGCTGTGTAGCCCCAGGCTGAATATTGCCGAATGATTTTCATTAAAAAAGAAAGAATACAAAGGTTTTGGCACTTGACATACATGGTTGCAAATACATACCAAAATACAGACGTTTTTAGAGAAGTTTCTTTTTAAGCAATTTCTGTCTCAAATACATTTTTCCAGGCGCTATTTTTAAGAAATCCTACAGAGACTTAGCATTTTAGAGTTGCATATAATAAAATCACATTGAGAAACATGAAAAGCTTTTCAAACCATAACATCATTGGAAAAATAATATAATAACCAATATTTCTGCTCTCTGCCCCCTTTGCCCAGAGGAGAAAATACTCATCTTTATTTTCAAGGAGTCAGACATGGGATTTCAAGAATGGCACACAGGCATTAGAAAAATGTCCTTCAGACCTTTGAAAGGATCTAAGGGGTAAATTAGTTCACCTCTCCATTTTACATCTAAGAAACTGAAGCCCACAGGCTGGTCATGAGCTACAGGGCCTGTGCATTCCCCCCATTCCTCAGCCTTGTCTCCAGCGTGCCTCTCCTTCATTACGGCCTCTGCAGGCCTCTGCTTTCCAGAATAACACCTTAAAGCACTTGTTTCTAATCTAATTGTTTTCCTTCTGCTATATCAAGATCTTTTCAACTCTAATGAAAAAATCACATTCTTGTTCACTCTTATGGATAGCATTTGCACTTGAGAGTCCTTCCTTATTCCTTTTCTTTACCTCTATTTTTCTAACAATATTGAACTACTGCTACTGAGTGAGAGGAACGATGAAAGATGCTGAGGACATAAAGAGTAAGACAAAGCTCCTGCCGGAAGGACTCAGGGTGCTGCCTGAGGTGCTCCTACTGTCAGTAGTGAGGGCAAAGCCCATCCACCGGCTTGCGGCTCTCTTGGTTCTTCTGGCCTCCTTCTATTTGATGGACACAATCCAGCTCAGATTAGGTTGCATTTGTTTACATGAGTACTAATATTGCCTGCCATCTCTTGATTCCTAAGTCTGTCCATCCAGCTATTCATCCCACCATTCTGCCGCCGAGGGCAGCAAATTGCCTGATTTATTAGTTGGCCTAGCATAGGCATGTTTAATTTTATCACCTATTTCTCATAATAAATGGTCTTTTGTCCATAGGGTAAATAGTTCTGAGTTATGTAAAATGAAAATCCGGCATACAGTGGTTTTATACTTGTCCCCTCAGGGATGATCATTTTGTTAGCTTCCTCTGCCATTTTTTAAAAGTTATAACATGACATTTAAAAATAGTACCATACAATCAAAGCTTCTCAAAATACCAGGAAAGAATCAGTAAACCTCTAGAAACTTGAGTCTTCATGTTCTTAATGGTTAGTTTCTTAATTAACAGCTTAGAGATCCCACCTGCTGTCAAAATAATTGTGCCATCTTTTCACTTAATTTTTATGTGACCTCAAGGGACTCCCATTTTTTTGCCCTGCCTCTTGGAGACTCACTTTACTTCTCACATTACTGGTCTAATAAAGTGTTTCAATACACACATTTTAACTCAAAGGACAATTGAAAAGAAGGACTGTTGGCTTTGTTAAAATGCAAGAGCCTTGTTGACAGGGAGGAGCTCTGAGAGAAAGGGAGCGGCCTTGTTAAAACTTTGAGCTGTGCTTGAACACATCCTAAAATGATTAAATTGTCTGTTCCGGTCATAAATTATAAGCTGGATAGTATAAAGCCAACTCCCATTGACTAATAAAATGAACAATATTGGGGTAGACCAGATACTAGTCTTCTGTGAACGTCTTCTTTATGAATCGCAAGGTGGAATGTTCTTTACAAGTGATAGTAAACAAAAGTTAGATTAAAAAAATGCCCAGAGGATATGTGATTCATAAGAATTATGGACTCTATTTTGGCCTCCAGATAAAGACTACTGATAAATTACACACACATCAAATGTAGCTTGCTTATCCAGTAATAAATGTTGATGTAAAACAAAACTCAAAATATCTTGTTTTGCAACCTGCAACTTTCAGTTCATTCTGGAAGCTCTGTTACTCAGACTTTAATCAAGGGGAAAGTCTTTATCTTTTTAGATTAAAAAGCAACAACAGAAAGCCCATGTCTATATAATAAAAATGCATTACAGTTCACATGAGAAAAATGGATTCTGGGGGAGACAAGATTTTGTAATGCTGTCCTCCAAAAGGTCAAATTACTGGTACTGCTAAAGAAACTATCAGATAATAACTGCAATAAAAGATGACCTTAGATGCTTGCATTCATGGTTTTATGAAAACCAAAAAATTTGTCTACTTCTGCTTTCCTTCACATAATAGTATCTGATTTTTTATTTCCATATGATTATTTGTACACTTGCTCTTTTCTCTCATCCCCAAAGTACTCTCATTTTGAAAACTTCGATGAAAAAGCTAACCTCTTGCAATTGGCTTTGATTTGCACTGTATGCTGAAAATCTGGAAAGTGCTATGTAATAAAAGGGCCCCAGTTTGGAGCCTGGAAAGCTGGTTAAATATCTGCCCTGAGTGAGCTGTGAGACCATGGGGATTCACTTACGTCTCTGCATGTGAGACTATTGGCCTGGATGTTTTGTGCATTCCCTCCAAACTGTTAAGTTATGACTTTGTAAGCTCTATCCTTGCACTTCCAAGGCGCATTAAAATTACCTCAAGAATGTAAAAATGAGAGAGACATGTCCAAGCCCTGTCCCTAGATTTTCTAATCCGCTATATCTAGGGAGCGACCTGGCCAAGTATATTTTTAAAAGACTCCCAGATGATTCTCATGTGTAGCCAGGGCTGATAACCACTGCTCCATGAACCTGCTCAGGCTCCCATTTCTCAGTACTTGCTCAGGCCTCTAAAACCCTGCACAATATTCTGAATCATCCAATTTAGCATTTCTTTTTACTGCTTACTTCAGTTTTCCTTACCAGATTGTAAATGCCTTTTTCTGTGTTGATGACTGAGTCTACCACTGCTCAAGGCAGGTTCTGGAAAAATTTCTGAAGATCTTTTTATTGCACATATTCTTGAATGGCAAAATACATATAGTTGTTGATTTCATAAACTCCAAATGATGTAAGGGTTTGTTTGGGTTTCTATCCTGTCTTAAAACCACCGCCATTTGCTGTAGTCTACTAATGAGAATCCTGTCCTGTCCCAGGCTGGGAGCTCCATCGCAGTGCGGGCCATCAGTGTTCGCCTTTGTATCCCTACCACCCAGCACTTAGGCCAGTGGAGAAAATGAGTCAGTCATTGTTGAATAAATAATTGAATGAAGGAATGAGTCATTGGATAAATACATTCAAACTCATACCAGTGTACCGATTTGTTCATGGAAGGATGACTGTACAGTCATCTGTATCCTGAGGTGGTGTATATATGTGCGTGCATGTGCACACATAAGCATGTGTGTGCTCGCGCCTGGGTGTATGCGCATGCCTATGTGTCTGTATGCATGTTGTAGTTGTGTGTGTGTGTGTGTGTGTGTTTCAGATGCACAATCACTGTGAGCATCCTTAAGAGCATCCAAAACTTGCTGAGTATTCGAAAGGGTCCCTCAGCGCCTCTTGGTTCTGCACAGCTGGTAGCTCTGCTCTCTGTAGCTATAGTCCTGGGAAATATGGTATTAATACTGAGTGAACAGATGGTGTAGGGTGTGTTACTTAAGACAGTTTTGCCAGGAGGTAAATTTATGCTTTATAAATGTACTTCAAAACTATGTTATTTGATTTAATCACTTAATGCAAAGACAGCTGCATACTATATTTGCCTTAACTGCAGTTATATGGGTTATCTGCCAATCTGTTAATTATAGTATTTTGAAAGGCTTCAGGAAAACAACAGTAATTATACAGATTGGGGTGGGGGAGAAACATTTTTGAAGCCTAAATTCAGACATTCATTCCCAGCTAATACAAACTTACTGAAGATTTAGAAAACCTGTTAGGAAAGTGGGAGTAGATATGATGGTTTTCCTTTCAAAGGGACTTATGTGTGCTCACATTCTCCATCAGTTCCCGCGGGTAACTGCTGGGGGAGATGGGAAGGGGGCGGCACTCCAAGCGGACAGAGCTCCAGCCTGCTCTCCAAGTTCTTTAAGCAACTGGTCAACTCCTTATAGTTAAAAAGAGGAGGAGGAGGAAGATGAGATAGAGGACAGAAAGAGGAGGAAGAGGTTCTACTTTAAGTATGA